TATATATACTGTGTAAATATTTGTGCTGATAAGCCTGAGTGGTCTGTTGACTGACCTTTGTATTTGTTCAAATATTTGTTTTGGGCAGGTTACAGTATAAAAAAATTGTTTGTCCTAATCACGTCTTGTGATTATTTGACAGGAGTTAAAATGTAAATGTATTTAATTTAGTTATAATATGCCCACAATTTTATTTATTGAATTGTCTATTTTTGTTATTGTTTATGTTAAAAATATATACAGTATTTTTGTGCTGATAAGCCTGAGTGGTCTGTTGACTGATCTTTGAATTTGTTCAAACATTTGTTTTGGGCAGGTTACAATATAAAAAAAGACATAATCATGTCTTGTGATTATTTGACAGGAGTTTTACTTTTAAAATGTAAGTGTATTTAATTTAGTTATAATGTAAATACAAGAGAAATTAAACCAAGATTTAGAATAATTATCATTTTGATCCGTACATTGATAATGCCTGACTGTGCCTGGTGCCACTTTATGTTCAATTGATTGGGCCCCGAGGTCAAAAAGTTTAAGAACCCCTGCTCTATCCTGCACATTTGACTTGTTTCTCCATTCCAACACACCTGATTCGCTGAACTACCTTCTGAAGTTCTGCAGAAGCCTGTTAACCACCTGTTAATTCAAACCAGTGTGTTGGAGCAGAGGAACAAAACATGTAGAATAGAAGCACTCAAGGACCAGGATTTCCCACCTCTGGTCTAAGATCATCTTCTGTTGAGAAATGACAGACTTATTTTAGTCAAACCTTGAAATTAACATTATTATAAAATGTTGTGTTGTTATGAACAACTCTCAGCTTCTATCATATCAAATATGATTTCATTTTCTGTAAAACTGACTGAGCTGGAGTCATATGTATGTGGGCTAATGTCACCTAGCTGTGGCAGCCATCTTGTAATGGGTTGGCTATGATTTTTTACTGAAAGTTTCATTAAAATGTGTCCAGTGTTTCTTGTTTTAAGACAGTACTGACACTATTAAAAGCTTTTTTTTCTTACATCATGAGCGTGTTTGGAGAAAGACTCGGCGCTGGCCATCATGGCTGCTGTTCTCTCCTCCAGCTCGCCCAGTTTCTGGCCCCTCTCATCCAGAGCTATCCTGGCCCTGGCCAGGTCACCCACCACCCCAGACGCTGCCCCCTTCATGCCCTCCATGCTGCCGGGGCCTGGGATGTGCTGGGCCAGGCTGCGGGAGGCTTTACCTGCTGTCGTCTCTCCAACTGAAAGGCCAGAAAACCCAGAAGAATGTTTAAATAAATCCTTTTTTATGTCAAAATATACCAGTTCATACCAAAAATGTTACTTTTTTATGTAAAGTAAATTAGCCTGGTGATCTTTTTCTCAACCCTCTTCATTCCAGAGTAGCTGCGTTTCCATTGACCATGAAAATGCGCAAATTAGAATTTCAAAAATAAATTTGCTTGGAAACACGTCAATTTCGAAAAAAAATTACGTTTTTCCACAAAATGTTTTTGCGCTAGGATGAGGTGGTTTTTCGGCCGTATCGAAATTGGTGTTTTTCGCAAAACTGCAATGGAAACACTTTTTTCTCATCACAGGAGTCACGTGATCAACAACTGGCTGTTTCTACTGGTGAAAAAGACGATGATGAAGAAGATAACACAGATCATTAAGTGAAGAAAAAAAATTCAGCCATCTTTATAAGTGTTTATATAGTTCTTTATGAGCTGTGCTATACTGGGAGATCAGAGGGAGAAATTATGATTTTTATGCCATGTCTTCAGCCCTTTTATACTTAGTCAGAGAAAGCTGTCCAAAACCTAATCACTGACCTACTTAATCAGTTATAGTCAGAAAGCAATTGTTTAATTTACAAGAGTTTCATTAAAATATGATAATAGTTTCTTACATACTGTATGTATTTTGACAAATCATTATGGCCCACCTTTTACCAGCAGGTGATAACAGTAAACACAGAGTGAATGAATGAATGCAGTACACACTCACAGAGGTCCTCCCTGTCCAAAGACTGAGCTCCTCCACCAAAGAGGCCTTTGAAGAATCCTCTGTTCGGAGCCTCTGGTGTCTCCACAGGGGTGAACAACTCACTGAGCATCTCCTGAGGAAGGACAAGACCATCAGCACCATCTGAACATGTTCTTCCATGAGACTGAGCAACTTACATCAACAGATTTAATACAACAACCCCAGGGTTGAAAAAGGTAAACCTCATAGTGGCCAACTTGTTCAACATTGAGGAATAATAAACAGATAAAGAGAAATAAACTGTATGAACATGTTGACAGACAGAATAATCATGAGGGTTAAACATGAGGTTTAATCATTAGTTGTAATGTTTAACAGACTCACACTACTTCAAGTATGTCATTTGTTTGAATCAACATGCTACTAAAGACTATTGGCTTCGGGAAAGTGACCTGCATTCAAAATAAATCACCCACTGACATATTAAAGTCCAGCTTTCAGCACACAGAAAGAATGGTCCAATGTGGAGAAAATATGAAAAATAAAAATAAGTACTGTATTTATTCATGTATAATGTATATTACGATCTCATGTATAATAAGACACCCCCCCCACCGCTTGAGCTTAAAAAGCATAAAAAATACAGACTTCAAGATTTTTCGGCCTTTGCAGTCTTTATACATATCAGTAAAATGATCATTGGACTGTTCATTTYATTTTAACAACATATGTACTAAAAGGTATTTTGACAACAAACACATCAGCTGTAGCAGCATCATATGAATTCTGGCATTTTACACATAGTCCACCAGGAGGCGCCAACACAAAAGTCAGAGACTTCCCACATCTTCTGGGGGGGAAAGCAGATTACTTCCTACTCGCGAGCGCCCCCTCTGGTGGGGAAACTTTTTTCAGGGATACAAACTTTTTCAGAACACCGGTAGACGGCAGCCATTACAGACGGACATGTGTTTGTTGTTGTTTGAGGAGCGGCCCAGTCACACACTAATGTCATAAGTTTGTTATCATTACTAAGGTGCAGGAATACTTTCCCCCTTTCTTTCACATCATGCCTCCTGCCTGGATCTGTTATCTCGCTCTGAAGAAAGGAGGAGTCAGAGGTAAGCTCGTTTCAACTACTTTTTACAACGCGGCCTCATTTCTGGACTCAGGCATTTTGTGAATGAAGCCAATATTTCAGTTAAAATACTTAAGTAAAAATATTTATCTAAGTATAGTACTACCCCCCAATTTTATGGATGATTTTATGGATTTGATTTTACGTATTATACTTGACTAAATACGGTAGATCCTCTGGACAGTTTCTTCTTTAATGAAACATTTCTCCTCCAGTAGACTTCTTCAGTCCATGGAGTTTCAGGTGAACTCAGCCTTATAAGCAGAGTTGCACATAACCAGTGGGCAGGTACGCATGCGTGGTCAAAAAAGAAAAAAAGCGCACCAGATGTAACGTCATAAAGCTCCCTTGCGTACCTAAGATTGTACCTGATTGTCAAAACAACAGCTAGCAGGGCTCTAGAGTGCGACCAGTTTGGTCGCAAAGGCGACCTGATTTCTTAAAAAAAAAAAAAAGAATCCAGCCACACTGGTGTGAATGGATCATTGTTCGGTGTGCCACAGCTGGACCCTGATATAAGGATTAAATGGACACTGCCTTCAACAAATCAGACGAAGTCCAGAGCCGTTTTATCCAATCGGAGCAGAGCAGGGCGGGACTTTCAGTGAGAGCAGGTTTAGTTGAAGCAGCGGGCCGGCTCGAGTCGACTCGAGCTGCTGCAGCGACGCGATCAGTCCTGACTTCTCCTCCTGCACTTTGCTCCTGAACTACCAGAGACTTTGGTCTGTAAAACCTAACTTTATATCAAATATATGTTCAGAATGTTGTTATTGAACAGATCTGTCCAACTCTGTGTGAGTGACTAAACTCTCCTCCTGAGAGACTGCTGTATGAGCGTGTTGCTGCGCTGTCTGTGAGATTCACTGAGTTTTTCTAATTAAACCACATTAACTAACAGAACATTTGTTTGTCCCATATTAAAGCAAAGATGATTCTCTGTTTAACACCCCAGTCAAAAAAACATCATATTATATATATA